CCTGCACTTTTTGGCCTTGGGGCAGCTGGGAACTGTAGGCCAGCAGATGAGGAAGCCCCATTCAACCCAGTGAGTGATACCCCTGCAGGCCCCTCTCTGAAATTACAGCTCAATTAAACCTTATGGGGGAACATTTTAAACAAATAACCACAGCCATTTTATTTATTTATTTATAGTCAAATTTATACCCCGCCCTCCCCGCAAAGCAGGCTCAGGGCGGCTTCCAACAACAAACACAACAATACAGAATAAAAACATAAATAATACAGAATTAAAACAAAGCATTTAAAATAGTACATTACAAAATATCAGAATACTGGCGGCAGTTAAAAATTAAACGAATAAAGTGCTTTCCAACAAAGTGCTTCAATTTTATTCCACATAAGGTGTTTAGTTGTTATTATGCTCGTTCTTGAGGCAGCTGCTGGATGTTAACATTATGGGCCGTGCACTAGGGCAGCAGCAGCGGCCCCTAATTGTATGCCTGGCAGAAGAGCTCTGTCTTGCAGTCCCTGCACAACTGTGAGAGGTCCTGCAGGGCCCTGATCTCCTCCAGGAGCTTGTTCCACCAGTTAGGGGCCACCACCGAAAAGGCCCCGGCCCTATTAGCAGCTAGCCTGGCCTTACAAACACAGGTAACTGCCATTTTGTGACACCTACCAACAGCCATTGAGGGAACAGTTAGTCCCACATGGGAGGCAAGCAGGAGAAGCGTCTTCATCAAGAGAGAAAGCTGTTTGCCAGTAATTCTGACAGGGCAGAGTGGCTGAAGGGGGAGTGGGCGGGGAAGAGGAGCAGACCCAGCATTCAGCCAATGGTACACGAGTACTGTTGAGTGGCGGCTGATGGGCTGAGGGAGAACATGGAATCTTGCCACCCCAAAACAGGATTATAATATAGGAAAGACTAGGGTCAGCTATATGATGGAGCTAAAGGATGACGCAATACCTCCCTTGTTTTGTGTAATACAGCTCACAAAGGAGGCAGGGAGAAGAAAGAGCTAAAGGATGACGCAATACCTCCCTTGTGTTGTGTAATACAGCTCACAAAGGAGGCAGGGAGAAGAAAGAGCTAAAGGATGACGCAATACCTCCCTTGTTTTGTGTAATACAGCTCACAAAGGAGGCAGGGAGAAGAAAGAGGGGGAGGGGGTAAGAGAAAGGGAGAGGGAGAGGAAAGGGTCTAAGGATCAGCACTGTTAAACAGAGAGCAGCAGGCAGAAATTTATTTACATTCAAAAGCAGCAGGTCCAGACTACTTCTTCATTCAGTCCCATGGTATTAGCATCTGAAGATGATGTATCAATGCTGTGTTTCAATAAAATCCTACCCTTGGGAGTCTGTCCTCCAAGTAGTTCCTAGTGATGTGAATAGATGCTGATCCACTTGAGTCAGCAGCTTCTTTGTGCATACACAGTTTTGGGGAAACCATGTGCTTTCCATGGATGGAAGCCTATCTCAGAAGGTTGTGGTGAAGATAAAATGGGAGAATCCCTATGTATGCTGTGCTAAGATCCTTGGAGGCAGGATAGTATAAACAATGGACTGAGGAAAACCCATTAAATGTCTCATTTCCTTACAGTAAGTAATATTAAATAACATAGATACAGCTGGTCCCATTGTAGTATAAATGTAATTAAAAGAGGCTTTTGATAGGTGACATGAGGAAACATGAAGTGCTGCTGTTTCAGGGAGGCACACTTTCTAAGATTCCTGCCAACAGACCACATATGAAGAAACTGTACATCCATTAGTGAATTACTATCATCAGGAAGGAGTTCACTGCAAAATAAATTCTGAAATCCAGAAAGCAGAATGGCTGACGAAAATTACTGTGGTTGTCAATAAGCTGTGTGTCAAATCCTTGGAAGTGTTGCTTGCCATGCCCAATATAGCCAGAAGGTGGCAGCAGTGTTTCTGCCTGCTCATTCAGTTGGTGTTTTTGTGCTGTTGCATTCTTTAATCATATAGTGTTTATCCCCTCTCCCTCCCACCCACCCACACACCTGCGCTGTCTGTGCTCATCTGACCACACTATTGCTGGACCTGGTTGCTCAAATATCATGAAACACAATAC